TAATTGCATATTACAGTTAAAGTACATTATTGCAAATTTATATGTAAACAATTGGTACTGTGAATAAACAGTCGGCAGTGCAAAATATAAGCAGTCGGCAGTGCAAATCAATATTGAGTCAAAGTGAGTAGTGCAAGATGCATATAAAGAGTTGTTACAATAGAAACAGTCAGGAGTGCAGGTGAACATTACAGTCTTGTAAAAACTAAAAACAGAATAGAAAAATTTGCTTGCTGAACTTACCTTTGATGAATTCTGCCTGTTCATACTGCTCTGCCATTTGCCCTGTCAGCCAGCGGTGCTTTCAGTAGATTCTGAGTGAGGGTTAGTTCTACTTGGTAACAGGATGGATCATTTCTCTCTTTCATTTAGCTGATATGACACCACTTGTGATGTGGCCAGAAACCTGTTCGTTCACAGGGGAGGAGCATGATCCGATGTTCCACTTTGATGTCACTACTTGGATTCAGCCCAGAATGCAAAAACAACATGAACTCCAAAAGTTGCAATTTAGTCCACTTCTATCTGCTCAGGCAGCTCCGTTACAGTTTCCAAAGTCCAACAAAGCTCATGCCTTCTCTCTACTTTCCAGTTTCCCATAATTAAAAGGCTTTCCAGAATGTTCTGACAAGCAAACGCAAGCCGTCCACTCACAGGGAGGGTGCTAATCTCTCTGCTGATCTGCACGGCATGCACAGAGGCTGCACAAACACACATCCCTTTGCAGAAATGTGCCTTTATGTAATAGCTTATATTAATTCTTTCATAACAAAGGTTGTTTCCATGTTAGGACCTGTGGGCAAAACAGAATTTTATAGGAAGATTACAAACCAACTGTCCAATAGCACTTAGAGTGGAGCACCATTGCATTCCCTGATGGTTTACAGACTGGCTCTGATGGCCTGTAATGTTTTATCTTTTCACCTGAAGATGTACCAAAGGTCTTGGTGCTTAATTTCTAATTGTCACTAGAAAAGGCTGTTTTGGAGAAACAGAAAAGTGGGAATGCTTTTTTATGCTGAATGAAAAAATAAAAATTATCTAAAGAAAATGCATAAAAGAAAAGAAGCAGAAATTAGCTGAGGAACATATGAAAATGTGATAGCAATTAATCAGAAACTTCAAACAGCAGAAAACAGTAGAATCATCTGAAGATTGTGTAGAGTAGAATCATTTGGCAGAATAATGGCAGAAACACACTCATCTTAAAAGCAAAACATTTAGTTAAAGTTGATTAACCCGAAGAAAAAGTCTAAAAGTATCTGTTTACCTGGAAGTTGACAGAATTAAAGCATCTGCTTACGAGGTTAGCAGATGCTTTATTACAGCTTCATTAAGAAATGTGCGCTTAGGTGTGTTGTCAACAGGGCTTGGTAGTGTAATTTGAAGAAACTGGTTCAGTTCGGATCATAGCTACAAACCATACGGCACAATGAATAAGTGTGCATGAGGAGGAGGCTTTTATTTTGTAGAGTCCCTATAGTCTTATTTTGAAAGTCTACCATGGATGTGTGTCAAGGGAAGGGTCATGCCCAGCAGTGATATAGAATCCATTTCTAAATGTGAAATCACTGGTTTTCCATGTTATTGGGTGAATAGATGCTGTATTAGTGCGTAAATGGGAGACTTTTATTGTGAAATTTGCTCCTGGGTGTGTTTGAAAAGGTCCCTAGAGTCTAACAGAAACAAGCTGGTGGAGTTTGGGTCATAATGCTAAGCCATATGTGTCAATTAATACATGAGTATAATCTAGAGGCTTTTATTTTGTAGGGTCCCTGGAGTCTTATTTTGAAAGTCTAGTAGGGTTGTGTGTTGAAGAAAGGGCGATACCCAACAGTGTTACTTGATGAATTTCCAATCTTTAAATCAAACTTTTTACCTGTTATTAGGTCAATAGATGAAGTGGCAATGGGAGGCTTTTATTTTGAAATTTGCCATTGGGTGCCTTTTGAAAAGCCCCCTAGAGTCTAATTTTTAAAAAAGTGGTTGAGTTTGGGTCATAATGTTAAGCCATATGTATAAGCATCCCCACTTATTGTTTTGATAACTACCAGACTGATCTGTTTGCTTCACATGGGGACCAACTGTATCTGCACCTGTATTATATCTGTGAAGATTCTTACCGTAGTCATCCAGGTCATGGTCAAGCTCCTTCAGTTCTAACTAGCAGTTTGGGAGCACTGAGATTAATATTTTGTAGGTGGAACAACGAATTAAAGGGAACAAAAGGTTGCTCTGATCCCTCCTACTGAATTGGCCCAGGAGGTCACCTAGGAGTGTTATTGGCCGATAACTCCCTGGTCAGAGTGGTTGCAGTCACAAGAAAAAACACACTGAAAGCTCAGGTGCTTCTCCAAAGCTGCTGTAACCCAGACCTGTACAACAATCCTTCCTGCCTTTTAACACATTCAGCAACTCGTTGTAAAAAAAAATATTAAATTACTATGAGTTAATATATTTATAGATTTAAGTTTAGGCTTCATAAACAGCTCATGTTTATTTAATACCTCTATTTAAGGAAGTACATCTATTTTTCAAAGAGGGACTTATCAAGGACAGTAAAATATATCCAAAAAGACAAGACGGCTCAGTGTGAGCAGCCATCTGCTGAGGCAGACTGGGGTTCAAGGAGATAGAAGAAGGCATAGAAGAAGAAGCAGAGATACAAAAGGCAACTGTCACCCAGCTCCATAGGAAACATACAGCTAGACAGACGAGCTCCGAGCCAGCCCCCACATCAGAGGATAAAGAAAGCACATCCAGACAGTCACAGTCAGAGAAACACGGCTGCACTGAGAAACAGGCCAAGCTCTAACATCTATAAACAAATGTTTTGAAAACAGCAGCACAGCTGATGTTTCTCTCCAGCATGGTGTCACAGCCAAACAGGAACAGACCAGATGAAGCTACTATGAGAAAATGCAGGAAGAGATTAATGTTAGAGATTGAACTACAGTTGAATGATGGAATGGGGGTCCCTATGTCCTCCAGCAGTCTAAGCCTATAGCAGCATAACTATAGAGATAGCTCAAGATATTCTGAGCCACTCTATATAAGCTTTATCAAAAAGGATAGTTCCACAGGAGAGGAGCCTGATAACTAAAAGATCTTCCTCCCATTCTACTTTTAGAAATTCTAGGAACCACTAGTAAACCTGCAGATTGAGAGCGAAGTGCTCTGTTAGGAACATAAGGAACAGTCATGTATCTGATATAAGATGGAGGTTGGCCATTTAAGCTTTATATGTGAGAAGGAGGATTTTAAATTCTATTGTAGATTTAACAGGAATCCAATGAAGAGAAGCCAGGATAGGAGAGATATGATCTCTCTTTTTTATTTTCCCAATCAGCTGAAGGCTTTTAACTACAGTTTGTGGACTTCCTGATAGTATAGAATTACAATAGTTCAGCCTTGAAGTAACAAATGCATGGACTAGTTTCTCAGCATCACCCCTGGACAGGAGATTTATAATTCTTGCAATATTTCGCAGATGAAAGAAGGAAATTCTAGAAACCTCTTTGATACAGGATTTAAATGACAGGTCCTGATAAAAACTAACTCAAAGATTTTTTACTTTATCTGAGATCAATTTAATAGAATCATATATAGAATCGATTTAAATTTTATTGTCATTACACTGTCACAATTTAATCCCATCCAAATGAATTCACTGACTAATCAGCTTCTTTTTTAAGGACTCTGGTCCAAAGACTATAACTTCTGTTTTAGTTTCCTAGCATTTTGCTTCAGAGGGCGCAGCTCTGCATTAAACCAGGGAGCCAAATTTCTATTTTTTTAGGTTTTTCTTTTTCAAATGGGGCTGCACTGTCTAAAGCAGTATGCAGAGAACTAGCAACCCCATCAATAAAATCATCAACCTGTGATGGGGAATAAACTAAACTTATGTTCTCTGCAGCACTGCTCAGCGACACGGAGGAGAGAGAAAGTGAAGAAAATTCTTTAAAATTTATAACTGCATTATATGAGTTATAAACATGCAATCCCAATGCACTTTAAAGAGTCAATTCCATCAGATTGGTTAAAAGTTTGTCTTTTAAGACAATTTACATTTAAAATAAGAAAAAAAAACAACTACAGTCTCTTATTTCAAGTGCATGATATCTGATTATCTTATCTTAAGGCTAAACATAATTATTCCATTGGCAGATCATCTTATTTACCCATCCAAATTAAGTTAAATACACTTATACACTTATAAAACACTTAAGAAATCCTGGAGAAGTGAAGAATAGAATGATGAAAAGTGGTCTCTATGCCCTCCAGCAGCATAAGCTTAAAACAATAATAATGAAAAATTATACTTCAAATCCCTCCACCAAGAAGAAAATATTATCTTATGTATATTCCTGGGACATTGTCCCTATATTTGCAGGGGCTTCCCATTGACTTCCATTGATTTCTACAGCCTAACCCTAACCATCACAGGTCCATACCTAACCCTAACAACAACCTTAACACAATTCACACCGTAGTCCTAAACGTGACCCCTGACCCAAAAGCAGCAATTTTTATCATGGGATCCAGGCATCGGGACCCACAAGGTGCTTTTTTTTCCCAGAAAATGAGTCCCATAGTGTATTAAAAACAAGAACAGACACACGCACAAAATGGAGAATAAAATATATCATGAAATGCACAAAAAAACACAAATATGCAAACCTCTGAACACAACTTTGATGCTTAAGTCAAGACAAGGGTGCTCAAGTCCAGTCCTCAAGAGCTCCCATCCTCTAACTCTTAGGTGCATCTCTTCTCTAACACGCCTGAATCTAAAGGCTCAATCCCCTCATTTAGCTCAACAAGCCACCCATTTGATTCAGGTGTGTTAAAATGGGGTGCATCGAAAAGCAGCAAGATAGTAGCTGTTAAGGACTGGACTTGAGCACCTCTGGTCTAATACTTGTTGCCAATGACTGATCTCTGTGCATAAGTCAACAGTCCTATTTATGGTCTTTGCTTTATCTACTCCAGTTAGCCAATTAGACCATAGATTACTGACAGGAAGGGAGGGGGATAGCTGAGGAGAGCTGAGGACGCCTGCTACATGAAAAAGCTCTGTTGCCCCTATGCTAAAGCTTTTAACTCAATCAAACTGTTGCTCCACTCATCACGGGGAACACTGCCCTCTAGTGTTTAGTAAGAGGATGTGTTTCATCATCACCCATGCTGGACCTGTGTGACATTACAATCATGATAAAATGATAAAAACAACAATTGAAAACATAAATACAGATAAAAAAGGGTCCAAGAAAGTACGTGAGCTAAAGCAGTGTGTGGATCCTTTACTTTATTAATTCAAGAGACTGAGAGTGTTTGGGACAAAGGATCCTGTCAGGAAACCTTCTTCCTTGTCATGTCAGTGTAGATGTCGGTCAGAGGCTTTTACCAGCCATTTACACAACTTTATTTCAATCTGAAATACTCCCAAGGAAAGAAAATGAAAATTGAAGAATTTTATTGATACAATTATTTTAAGACTTTGTGCTGAACT